ACGGACAGAAACAACAAACGAATGATAGAGAATCCAACAGGATGGACAGACAGAAACAACAGAGGTATGAGTTTGAGTAAAGAGAAGCCATAATCATAATAAACAAACACAACAGCCAGTCATAAAAGGGGAAGAAGCAAGACATAGACAGAAAAAGCTGAGGGAAAAAAGAGAAGTAGGACCTACCAGTGGCGTCCTTCAACCACCCTCAAACAATAGAGGCATGAGACAGAGAAACCAACCGGATAGACAAACACACAGAAACAACAGAAAAATGACACAGAGACAGCAACAGATGGACAGACAGAAACAATCATGGGATGACACAGAAGCAGGGCAGGAGCTAGCCATAGCAGGGACACCGGCCCACCACCCGCAGTACAAAGTTGAAACCATGTATCAAGTTCAAGCTGTGTTGCCTCAATGCACTATATGACTACCACTCACTAAGGCCATCATATATATACCCAGTGCCAACATCATCATCTCTAGCTAGGAAAAACACCTGAACAAGACAAACTTACATTCATGAGAAAAAATTATTAAAGTTGTCAAGAAGCCATCGAGTAGATCTAGCACATTGAAACTTCAGAACATTCAGTAACACTTTAGCACGCACATTTGCCACATCAAAACACAGAATTCTAAAAAACACAATGGCGTAATCATAATGCTGAAAGGGTACACACAACCAGCTTACATTTGCACAATGTTCTTTCTAATTAATAATAATACATTCAAATTCAAATCCTTCCAGAGCCGTCTCTATGGCAACAGGAAACTACACAGTAAATTAACAATGCAAAAATTTAGACAAATCTGCATGCTCCAGAGAGTCAGCTCTTGACATCCGACATCCATACAATATGCCCATTAACAATAAAAAGAATAAATAACACAAATTTGCCACTTGATCGAGTCATTCCAGAGTTCTTTCATAGTAATATGTAACAAGATAGACAAAAAAGTTAGGTCAGCAAGCTAAAGTAGGACCCGCTGAGCCGAACAGAAATAATAAATAAGGAGATTGAATGACTATGACAATGATTACAATGAAAACACAGTACCTTAAAATAAAAAAAGATTGAATGATGATGACTATGAAAAGACAGCAACTTAAAAAAAAATCAAACTCATTATATATATATGGATGTGAAAAAAGAATGTTGTATCAATGGAAAATGATTTGAGCGTTACCTCAACAAGCTGAGGAATAAGAAACTAATTCAACCGTGTATTCAGACAGACTTCAGACACAATGTGGTGGGAAAAGGCAGGGGAAAAGAAAAAAAAACCTACAAAAAACTAGAATTTACTGGGAGGAGGGGGAATCAAAACAAAAAGGAGAAGTGAATAGACAAGACAGTTGTTAAATCCAAAAGTGAAAAAAAATCTGTCAAGTGAAGAGGCATAAAAAATCCCCCTAAAAATTTTAAAAGTTAAAATCAAAGAGTTCATTCAGACTTTTTGCATCCCTGAAAAAGCTCACATACTCTTTGCTCACATTTTTCCAAGTCACCAGGTAGGTGGTTGGCGGACACTCCAGCGTAGTTTGCTCCCTCTGAGGCATGTATGGTAGTTCCATTATCTCTCTTTCTTCTTTTGTTTTTATTATGACACTCTCAAGCGACGCCTTGAATCTCAGGCAATTATATACATTATGACTATAAACTTATTTGTGTCTCGAGTACCGCAAATCCCTTTCTAAAACTAAACTTTAAAAAGTCGTTAGGATTTTTCGGAAACGCCACCAAAACAATGAGGAGTTTCGGGCCTTAAAAGCAGTCACTGGCCTAAGATCACGTAAAGAATTAAATAAAGTTTATCAAGTGAAAATTTTAAAAAAGCCTGTGACGCACTGATTAAATCATGTAAAAGTGGGTGTAGTCTTTGGAACGACAACCCCCCCCCCCCCCAAATAAAAACAACAAAACCTTCCAACATATGCAACACTTTCTGGGAACTTGACGAGTCTGTCTATGCCATCTTGAGAGAAAAAAAGTCCTCTTTATTAATCTGAGTTTTAAAAAAACTCATTTGTTAAAGACAATTTACATTTTTTTTTAAATGAAGTATGAAAGAGAACCATCAAATAATAAAGGTTCCCCATATGGACTTTGAAACTCATTTACTTAAAAAAACATTTCACAAAAACAGACCCACCGAATAATTAAATATTGCTTGAGAAATGAATCTGTGGCTACATTCTTCCGAGGGCAGCTTAATGAAGAAAGGAATAAAATGCCTCAGTTTGTCACAGCAGCAAATGTGAAATAAAGGAATCTATTAGTTTTAGATGGAATTGCCAAATTCCTTATATAGTGGCAAGTGAGTCAATGAAAAGAACAACTTGAACATCAACATTGGTCAGCCTGCAATAAGTTACATTCGTTTATGTGCAAAAAGGAACAGTAATTTTCAAAGTGGTTTATGGCAATTTTATATGTTACGCTACTTTTTTCCCCATCTTGTAGTGAATCCCTTTTGCGGTGCCTTTTGATCCAACATCCCTTCCAACATTAAGGTTATTTAAGAAGCGGAAACTTTGAACTTAACATCTATCTCCGACAGGACCGAGCCTTAAAAACACCCTGAAACAACCCAACATCTGAAAACCTCATTGGAGATTCGAACCAGGGCCATCCTTTCATGTATCATTTTTTAGGCTTTAAAAATATCATATTGTTACACACATTTCCTGACAGTGCAATCTGAAAAGACTAGTAGTAACAGCGATAGTTATTCAAACATCAGAAAGACATTTATGTGGTACCAAGTGCATATAAGGATTATATCACAATAGCTTTGAAAAAAAAAGAACCCATTCATTTACACTGAGAAAGCAGAAAAGCAAGTTGCACTTTCTGCAAAACTTGCATCATTCAACTAATTCATTCACAATGAAACACTAAAGACAGAAACTGGCACAAACATGACAGGAACTAACACATACACACACACATGACAGTAACTCACTCACACACACACACACACACACATGACACAAACTCACACGTGACAGGTATTCGCGCACGAAGGCACGCACGCAGACACACACACACATATGACAGGAACTCTCACACACACACACACACACACACACA